CATCTCTTATTTTCTTTCTTTTTTTACACTCGCCCTCCCCAATTGCTCTCTCCAGCCCCTTCTCTCAGGTAATGTTTTTATTATCAGTGCCCACAGGTTTGCCTTTTTATTTTATTTTGTCTGCTCATCAATATTTTGATGAGGAGGGATGAGGAGATTTGGGCCACACTTGGCTATACTCAGGACTTATTCCTGGCTCTGTGCTCAGGGAATGCTCCTGGCAAGAGGGCCGTTCGGGTTGCTAGGATCAAACCTGGATCAGGTGTGTGCAAGGCAGTACTATTGCTGACCCAGCTTCTATTCCCAGCATCCCATACAGTCCCCTGAGCATCGCCAGGAGTAATTCCTGAGTGCAGAGCCAGGAGTAATCCCTGTGCGTTGCCGGGTATGACCCAAAAAGCAAAAATAAAATAAAATAGTTGAAGAACATTCCATTATATAAATTTACTGCATTTTTTTTATTCCACATCATTTTCTTTTTTATTTTATTATCTGTCAAGTTGGCACTTTGGTAGCTTCCACATTTTATCTATTGCAAATAGCACTGCAGTAAACTTTGGAGTGGATATACCTTTATGTGTTCATGTTTTTGTATTATTCAGACACCCCAAAGTGGGATCGCTGGATCATGTGGTACCTCTATCTTTAGCTTCATTTTTTTATTTTTATTTTTTTCTTTTTGGGTCACACCCGCATCTCCTGATGGTGCTTCCGGGTACCGTATGGGATGCTCGGAATTGAACCCGGGTCGGCCGCGTGCAAGGCAAAGGCCCTAGCTGCTGTGCTATCGCTCCAGCCCCTATCTTTAGCTTCTTAAGAGAGTACCATAGTGTTTTCCAGACTGGTTGCATCAAAAAGAGTTTGATGCAAACTTACAAAAAGAGTTCTTTTTCTCCACACCCTCTCTGTTACTTTTCTTACTGTTGTTTTTGATGTAAGTTATTCTCACAGACATGTGATACCATATTGTGGTCTTAATTTGCATTTTCCTGATCATCAGTCATAGTGAGCATGTTTTCACCAACCTATTGTCCATCTGTATATTCTCGCTGGAGAGGTTTTTAAGACATCCTCATTTACATAGTTGAGTTTCAGACATCCTATGTTCCAACAACCAATCTTACTACCAGGCTCCACTTCTCTCCAACAGTGCCCCCTGGTTCCCTCCCACTACCAAGTCCTGCTTCCTTGACAGGCACATTTTAAAATTTAGTTGTAGTTTGATCCTATACTTGCAGAATTGTTGGCTCTGTAGTTTAGATACATATTACAACTTTATTCTACCCATGTGTTTGAGGTCCCTGTACCCTACTTCTGTTACCTACCTTCCCTCTTTTCTTATCCCCTCTACTCTCCTCCCTCTGCCACCACCACAGTTTGTTTCTTTCCTTGCCCTCCTTTCTTTGCTCAAGGGCTAAGGCTAATCTGGACATTTGCCCTTTGATATCATGCATTCCCATCATACATATTTTGAATCCGTTATTTTGTCCTTGATTTAAGTTGGATGAGTTCTTTATAGGCTGGAATGATAGCACAGCAGTAGGGCGTTTGCCTTGCACGCAGCCAACATGGCCGACCCGCGTTCGATTCCTCCGCCCCTCTCGGAGAGCCCGGCAAGCTACCGAGAGAATCTCGCCCGCACGGCAAAGCCTGGCAAGCTCCCCGTGGCGTCTTCGATATGACAAACACAGTAACAACAAGTCTCACGATGGAGACGTTACTGGGCCCGCTCAAGCAAATCGATGAACAATGGGAGGACCGAATTCTTTATATAGCTTAGCTATTACCCCCTTATCAGATGTATGGTGTGCAAACATCTTCTGCCATTTAGCAGACTGTCTTTTCATCTATATTTTCTATTGCTGTACAAAAGCTTTTCAGTTTAATGTAGTCCTTTACTTTCACTTCCCCTTCTGTTGGAGTATTATCCGCCTCCCTGCCTCCCCTCCACCAAATATCTCTAGTAATAATGTACTGGAATGTTTCACTTATGTTATCTTCCAGGTACTTCATGCTTTCAGGCCTTCCAATGAGGTCTTTAAGCCAGTTTTGTATTTATTTTTTTATGTGGTATTAGAGGGTAAAGGTAAAGGTAAAGGCCCTCCCGTTGATTGTCGATTTGCTCGAGCGGGCCCAGTAACGTCTCCATTGGAGACTTTGTTGTTACTGTGTTTGGCATATCGAATACATCACGGGTAGCTTGCCAGGCTCTCCGAGAGGGGCGGAGGAATCGAACTCGGGTCAGCCATGTTGGCCGCTTGTAAGGCGAATGCCCTACCCGCTGTGCTATCGGTATTAGAGGAGTCCAGTTTTATTCTTTTGCGTATGGCTATATTCAGTTTCCCCATTTGTTGAAGAGATTCTCTTTTTTTCCTTTGTACCAGAGTTACACTTGGTTTTTATTCCTTCCCCCTTCCCCTTTCCCTTCACTGTTGTTGTTGTTGTTGTTTGTTGTTGTTATGACTGGGGGGCTGGGAGTCACACACATGTCCAGCTGGGATGCCTGTCCGGGGCTGCACATCTGACTGTGGTGCTCCCTAAGACTTGGACTCTCTTAGTTATAGCATTTGCACACATGCTCATTGTGGGTGGGGCTCTGTAGCTGAGCTTCACAAGTTATGGTTGTAGTGCTCCACAGGGATCACTGTGGTGCTCACACATGTGTGGCACTTCCTGGCCATGGTACTTACACGTTTTTGGTTATGGTGCTTGTGGAGGATAGAGGGGGGTGGTAGGTCACACCATTTGTTGTGGTTACACATGCCTGGCTGCCAGAAGTTGCTGGTTGGAGTGGGGATCAAAGATGACAGAGCTGCTAGGCTCCAACAGCTGAGCTGTCAGGATGGCATGTGAGGTGCATGTGGTGATACTCAGATTTGAATTGGTGACTGAATGCTTGAGAGGCAGGTGTTCCATGTCACTGAGCTATTCCTACATACCCTACAGGCCTACAGGGTTTGCAGTGCTAGAGAGAGAACTTGTGACTGCAAATACCCGGGCTTGTGCTCTGCCCGGTAAGCTGTCTTCCTGACCCTTTAATTAGTACTTTCACTGGATTGTTTTCATTTAGTCCTCATAAGAATGCTTTGATAGAAGGTAACTTTTTATAGAAGAAAGTAACTTGTTCTCAGGGTTGTACTATAATATGTTATATAATTTGGATTCAGTTTGTAATTTGGATTATTGATGTCTACTACCTGATAAATGTCAGGTAGTAGATACCTGCTAATGCTAATAAAAATTAAGGAGCTTAATGCAGGATTAGTATCTGAACTAGAAGACCAGAGATTTCAGATATAGCTAAGATTATTTTCCTCAGAACTGTTTATAAGTATAGTCTTATATGAATTAATAGGTGAAAGAAAAGAATTGTTACATTTCAGTTAAAATTTTGCTTGAGAAGAAAACTTTGACTTTATAAAATTTATTTATACTTAATTAAATCCTAATCTTATCTTGGACATTGCCACTTTTACTTCTGTTTTGGGAATAGTAAGCTTTTGAAGAACCAAATGATGGAAACTAGAGAGATAATACTGCAGGTAGTGTTTGCCTTGCATGTGACCAACCTGAGTTCGACCCCTGTTCCCCATATGGTCTTCCAAGCCCACCAGGAGTGATCTCTGAGCACAGAACCAGGAGTAATACCTGAGCACAGCCGGGTAGGACCAACCCCATCCCCCCACCAAAAAAAAAAAAGAACCAAGTGACCTAGCTATTGTAAAATATTGAAATATTACCAAATTAATTCACTAATGTTTTCTATAAACCAGTTTCGGTTGCTTGTCTTTTTATATTTCACAATTTCAAAGTACTTTCTGCAGTTTTTTTTTAAGATGCATCATCTGTTTAGAATTATTTAATTGAAACTAGAGGAAATATCTGGTGTGTTTTCCAACTAGCATTCCTGAAAACTGAAATAATGCTGCTGAGTTAATTTCATCATGTTTTATTTATACTTTTGTCAAAATACTTCAATTTTAGCATGTTTGTGCACATTGGTTTTATGGTGAACTAAATAATCCATGTTTGAAATGTTTTTTATTTCCCAAATAATTGGCTAAATTTTATAAATCCCTACTTTCATAGTAATCTGCTATGAATAAAATGTGCACAAAATTTTATTTATTTATTTATTTTCATAATTTTATTTATTTATTTTTCTTCTTATATTTATTTATTGAATCACTGTGAGAAAAGTTACAAAGCTTTCTGGTTTAAGCCTCGATCATACAATGATCAAACACCTTTCCCTTCACCAGTACTCATTTTTCACCACCAAGAACCCCAATATACCCTCCCTCCCACCCCTCCCAATGCCTGTGAGACAGATGATTTCCACGTAACTCTTCTCCACATTGATTACATTCATTATTTAGAAAGAAGATGCATCATTATTGTTTAGAATTCCGCCCCCCCCCCCCCAATAATCAGAATTGCTGAAAAGGCATTGTGAAATACTTTGTTTTCTATAGCTGGTATGAGAGTCATATAATGTCATATAATGATTTTGGATATCTGGAAAGAGCCAGATCATTACGAGATTGGTTTCTGTGCATCTGGTGTTTCTGGTGTTATGGCTGTACCGGAGAGCCACTCGTGGGGGGCAACTCGTTTCCTCAGTGGGGCGTGAAGGACTGGCTGGTAACGCCCCCCTTCCCATGAGACTGTAGTTGCCCCGTCACCACAGGCTCATACCTGGCTTTCCAATAAGCTCTGAGGTGGTGGCCACCTTGCTGCCGGGGGTCGGGGGGTTGGCGGGGGGGGAGGCGGAAGCGAGCAACACCCTTACCCTCCCAGGGAGGCATGGCACTATAGTTGAACACATGGTCCATTCACTTTTCTACCGCAAGCTGTCGGGCTCTGGACTAAGTCCTTTTGCCTCTGGAGCCATGCCCGTGCCGGAGAGCCGCTCGTGGGGGCAACTTGTGACCTTGGTAGGGTGTGAAGGACGAGAAAATGTGTACAAAATTTTAATAGTTTTCTATGTTTATTTTCAGGTGAAAGGTTTAGAACAGATGTGGAAAGATGTTCACTTCAGAGAAAGGGGTTGTGGAGGAATGGTTGTCAGAATTTAAGGTAATAATTATGTTTCATTATAATAATTGCATGTCAAAGAATTTTTTTCTGAGATGTAGATTCTAATGACTTTAAATGTTATGATTACAAATATAATCTTTGGGGCTAGAACAATGGTACAGCAGGTTGGGTGCTTTTCTTGTAAATAGCCGACCCAGATTCACTCCTAGCACCACATATAGTTCTCTGAACCCACCAGGAATGATTCCTGAGTGCAGAGCCAGGAGTAAGCCTTGAACACTGCCAGGTGTGACCCAAAATACAAATAAGCAACAAACTATATATATATATATATATATATATATATATATATATAGCACTGCACTGTTCTCCTGTTGTTCATTCATTTGCTTGAGTGGGCACCAGTAACTTCTCCATTGTGAGACGACTTGTTACTGTTTTTGAATCGAACCCTGGTCGGCCTCGTGCAAGGCAAATAAATGCCTTAACCTCTGAGCTATCACTCCGGTCCATACACACACACACACACACACACACACACACTCATATATACACATACCTATATATATGTGGGTATGTATGTGTATGTATATACATATATGTATAATACATTGCTTATATATCTATGTTTTTATATAAATATAAACATTATATAGTTATAAATATAACTACATATATAACTATATATAAAACCTTTGTTTAGTAATAACTTTTGTTTAGTTGACCATAGAAGTTCTGTTTTCTTGTCTTTTGAACTTTTCTCTTTGAGATCAAAGTTGTAGTCTTTCGACCACTAGTTACCTTGTTCTCTGGGTCTCATTATGTGAGGTTCATGATAAGTTTTTGTAGTGAGCACAGTAGCCTCTCAGTAAAGGAGGTAGTTTTGACCCTTTCTAGCTGCATTGTGTCCTTGGGAGAACCAGTGTTTTCTATTAATTTTGCAGCTGGCCTTTCCTGTTGTTATCTTAGGCTGATAAATGACTGGCCATATTTTTACTTTCTCAGCTTTTACGATTGTAAATTGTATGTTCTTTCTTTTGATCCCATAAGTCATCATAAAGTGATGGGGAATATAAAAATGCACTGCATAAAAGTGCCTTCTATATCTTAATTTGATTAAATCTTGCATGGTTTTTCTACTCTGTTTTGTCCCTATGTTTTTTTTAATAAATAAGTATTCAAGGTGATTTTAAAGCTGTTTTTCTGCTTTAAGAATGTTTAATATGGTTCATTATAGCATGATTGTTTGGGGGTGGCTTGATGGAAATGGTCATGTTTATTCTGAGTACCACTTTTCCTTTGGGCATTCTTCTGCAAAGTCAAATCTGCAAAAGTGATTAGTTAAGCCAGTTAGTCTTTGTGGAATTTTTGAAAAAGGCATGGGTGGGTGGTGGCTAGAGCAATATTATAGCAGGTAGAGCTTTTGCCTGGTCGGCAGCACACCTGGGTTTGATCCATGGTATCTCATATGGTCCCTTGTGCTTCACCAGGAATAATTCCTGAGTGCAGAACCAGGAGTAGCCCCGGAGCACACTAGGTGTGGCCCAAAAAGCAAACAAACAAAAAAGACATTTTGTTTGTTTGCTTTGGTCACACTGAGTAGTGCTCAGGGGCTTGTGGTGCATTGTTCTGGGATTCCTCCTGATAGTCATCAGGTGGTCACATGGTGCTGGGGACAGAGCTGAGCCTGGTACTTGTGCATGCCAAGCATGTGTACTAGCTCTTCGAGCTGGCTCTCTAGCCCCCAAAGAGGGCAGGTTTGCAGTGCAGCACAGGGCAGGGGTCAACTATTTAGCAGAAAGAAAATTGGAAATTGTGGCTGAGTCCCTCCCCTTCCCATCTGTTTTTCTATTTCCTTCCTCTTCTGGCTGAAGCGATAGCACAGCAGGTCGATAGCATAGCAGGTAGGGCATTTGCCTTGCACGCAGCCAACATGGCCCACCCGAGTTCGATTCCTCTGCCCCTCTCGGAGAGCCTGGCAAGCTACCCATGACGTATTCGATATGCCAAACACAGTAACAACAAGTCTCACAACAGAGACGTTACTGGGCCCGCTCGAACAAATCGGGAGGACAGTGACAGTGACTCCTGTATTCCTATTCCTCTTCCGACTTTGAGATACTCAGGAACCATAGCAGTGAGGAATGAAGGCCCTGTGGCAGAAAGGCACAGAGTACCTTAACATCAGAAGTGTGGGTGGGGGGAGGCTTGCTCAGCTGGCAGATGTAAGAGTTCACCAGGGTGTTTTCAATGAGAGGATATTTATGTTGAGCAATTAAGTAAATATGTGGGACTTATACAGGATTCAGGTTTCCCTTTGAGAAGGAAATTACAAACATGGAATGAGGAAAGAAACTTAAGGTTTGAGGACTGGAATTAGAGGAATCAGTTTGAACTCATATGTGTCTAAATGTATGTATTTTTATATAAGTGTGTAGCCATACATCTATCTGTTTCTTAGCTTTAGTCACTGAGAGCACCAAGAAGCTAGGAAACCCCAATAGCAATTACTACACCAAGCAATTTTCTAAATATTTTCTAAATATCATCTTTCACTAAAATAAATTAGGTTGTGATGAAACAGTGTTCTCCACTTAATATTTTATCAGTATGACCCGATATTATTTGGATAATGGTTACTACCCAGTGATTAGTACCCAGATAAAATTAAAAAAAAATTTAATTTCATTTAAAAATTTGTTGACTTTCTCTACCCTTTCAAGATTTAGTTTACCAATTTTGAATCTAGCTGAGGTTAAATACTCTTACTGCACTGTGGGTAGGGAGTTTTCCTTGCACGTGGCCAACTCAGGTTCGATTTCTGTGCCCCTCTCAGAGAGCCCGGCAAGCTACTGAGAGTATCTCGCCCGCACAGCAAAGCCTGGCAAGCTCCCTGTGACGTATTCAATTTGCCAAAGACAGTAACAAGTCTCACAATGTGTTGTGGAACATTACTGGTGCCTGCTCCAGCAAATTGATGAACAACGGGAGGACAGTGCTACAGTGCTACAGTGCTATTCTTGAGTTTTATATTGTAGCTACTTAAAGGAAATAAATTTCCTATTCCTTCACTAATTAAAAAGAAATTTAAAAAATTCATCGGAAATATTATTCTGAGTTGTGTTAATAGGTATTGAATTCAGCTGTTTGAGATTGATAAGGAAACTAAAGTTGTCAGGCAAAATTAGCACATCAGACAGAAGATAGAAAAGGGCTTGAGAACAAATCTATTATATAATTTTAAATGAGTGTACCAAATGATTTTTTAAAAACTTTTTATTGAATCACTGTGATTCAATGTTCAATTACCTTACAAAGCTGTTCATGATTTTTTGAAATTATTTATAATGCTAAATTAATTACAATATTTAGGAAGTGTTTCTGGTGCTTATATTACCTATATTGTTGATTTTTGCAAAATTATTTCATTACGTTGGTTGTTTTATTAATCAGTTTCTTATAAAGCCAATACATCATCTTTCATTAAAAGAAGTTAGGTTGACAAAAAGATGGTAAAATGCTAGAAAATACTTTGGACTGAAAGATCAGAAATTTTTTTTATCTAATCATAAAACTTCTGCACAGTGTTCTTGTGATGTTGGACAAATTGTATAATTCCTTTGGGTCTTAGTAACTTCATCAGAAAAACTGAAATAGGTGGTCTGTAAAGATGATTTTTCTTCTCCTCTGTTCCAGGTTCAGTTTGAACTCCCAACATTATTTCTTTGTTTTACAGTGCTGGGAACCAAACCCAGAGCCTCACACATGCAAGGAATACACTCTCTCACTTAGTCACATTCAGGTCTCCAACGCCATTTTTTTTTCTTTTTGGGTCACACCTGGCGATGCAGAGGGGTTGCTCCTGGCTCATGCGTTCAGAAATTACTCCTGGCAGTATTAGGGGGACCATATGGGATGCTGAGAATCAAACCTGGGTCATCCACGTGCAAAGCAAACACCCTACCTGCTGTGCTATCACTCCAGCCCCCCTGTAATGCCAATTTTTTAACCTTACTCAGTAACCTGTCAAATATACCAATACTATTTGATCTGAGCAAACGGCATTTAATTTTTTTGTCTTTGAAAAAGCTGTTGTTTCTATTTTAGCTCTGGGTCCTCATTAATATTCTCTCTCTATACCAGCAAAAGGATTAGGCTGAGACTTTATTATTTAATATTTTTTGAATAGTTCTATTTCTGTACTTCCAAAGATTTATTTATAAAATATTATCTTTCATTTTATATTATGTTTTTCTTAACGCTATATGTAGATTTATCTAGCAGATTTCCAGACTCCTATTTTTTCCATTTTCTGGTAGACACTGACTTTTAATACGTGACTCAAAATCCATTCCTATGTGCAATAAGAACAGTTGTTTATTTATTGGTTCTCTACCCATCTGCCCATCTTCATTAATCCTCTTCTACCCAATCCATATCATCTCCTTACATTTAAAAAAGCCATCTGCTGAATGATACTTTAGTATGAAGCATCTGTCTTTTTTCATATTTGACAAGACTAATTTCTTCACATAATTTCCCATTATTACTTTTTTTTTTGGCCTCTGGTTCTTCCTTCTGAAAAGTGAGAAAGCTTAGCCAGTATTTAAGAATACTTTGAGCTAGTGCACTTTAAGAATATGTATCTGTTTGCTGTTATGCTCTTATAGATCTTAAAAATTTCAAAGCACTATTTATAAATACAGAAATTGTCAACCTTTCTATATACTTATATAAAAACCATAACTTTCCCCACATTTACAAAATGCAATAATGGCAGAACTGTGCATAATTCCTGTACTATCTCTAGTTTGGGCCAGAGAAATAGTACAGAAATTGAGACACGTGCCTTGCATGGGGCACTCAGTTTTCTGAGCCCCACCAGGAGATGTCTCTGAGCACAGAGCCAGGAGTAAGCCTTGAATACTACTTTATGTGTCCTACCTCAGCCCCCAAATAAATAGACTAGTTCACTGCTCTAATTTGAGGGGTACTCTTCCTCTTGGTAGTACCTTTGGTGTAGGGTATTTTCTAGAGCTGTCTTCAGAAGAGATGTCTTTCATCATTGAAAGAAAATATTTCACCTCATAAAATTTAATTGGTGCATAAACTGAAAATTGTTGCAACTTTAACAGACAAAACTGTAATATGATTATTTCTGTTCACTGATAAATTTTTTAGATTCATAATTTTAATTTTCTTAGTTTAAAATTTTATAGTTATATACACCTAATATGTTTTACACATATAATTCCATTTCATTTCCATTCAGGGGATTAGAAATATGCTCTTGACTGTTACTCTCTTTTATATAATTCCTTTAGTATTAGGTTACTCTTGATCAAATAATGGAAGTGGAATGTTGCCTGGAGATCTTTTGTTACATGCTTTTGAAATATTGAAGAATGCCTTAATCCCCTCTTTATTTAAGCATTTGCAGTGAAACTACTTCCCCCTTGCCTTGGAGTGTGATGAGAGGTTCCCAGATAGTTCACATTTACTTAAATTCTGGTAAACAAAACTCTTGAAACAAAAAACTTTCCACTCATCTGTCCTAAGGTGAAATGTGACCTATTTTTAAAGAATCTATTAAACTGTAAACAGTGATAATGTTTATTTATGATTCTATCCTAGAATAAATTTCAGAAAAATACTTGAGTATGAAACTTATGATAGAAAAATAACAGGATAAATTTTCTTAATTCTCCTAACATGGTATAACATACTAAAAAATTACATTTGTAGGATTTATCTATTTCATGTGAACTTTAAAAATGTTCGCATAAATCAGAACTATTCATAGTAGCATTGTAGCATCATCCTCCCGTTGTTCATCGATTTGCGTGAGCGGGCACCAGTAATGTCTCACAACAAATTGTGAGACTTGTTGTTACTGCTCTTGGCATATCGAATACATCACGGGTAGCTTGCCAGGTGCCGGCGAGATACTCTTGGTAGCTTGGTGGGCTCACTGAGAGGGCCAGAGGAATCGAACCTGGATCAGCCACGTTACTGCTGTGCTATCGCTCCAGCCCAACTATTCATAGTATCCTTTAAATTTATATATTCCTTAAAAGAATATTTTAGTGGGAGAAGGTGAATCACACTTGAGTACTTATAATATTCAAGGTGCTATTTTAGGGTATTTTACATCAATTTATCAACACCTCAGTGGAAGTAAAATTAGTCTTATTTTACCAAAGGGAAATTGAGATAGACTTTGCCTCTGAGTACAGCTAATTAATAGCAGAACTAAGAAGTAAAGACTAGACTTTGCCTCTGAGTACAGCTAATTAATAGCAGAACTAAGAAGTAAACCTGTTTGATTCCCATACTCATTTTATTATACTAAAATCGTAAAAATGCCCTTAACTTTTTGGGTGATATTTCATGATAACATTTTGTTATGAAAGTTAAAACTGCATCTATTGAACATTAATAGTTTGAAACTATACTCAACATATAACAAAACATGTAGGTAAGACATGTTGTTGGGATCGGGAGTTCCCTAGCCCTGGGAGGCGCGGAGAGACCAGATAGACACAATTCCTGCAGGAGTAAAAACGGGGTTTATTTAGACCAGCATGCTGGGGCTCCGCAGCGTACCCCAAAATGGGCAGTGGCTGAGAGCCCCGAACTTCTTCAAAGGGGATCTTATATAGGCCTTCACTGGCTGTTACAGCAAAGCCCGCGCATTTCATAACCAATAGATTTGTAACAACATATACTTTCTTAACCAATCCATTTAAAAGTACCTCACTCCTTAGCCTATAGATTCAAAGATCAGCATTTATGTACATCGATTGTCAGCACAAGCAAGGTTATAGCTGGAATCATTAAGCCTTAGGTAATCTCCCTTGACCATCCACATTTTGAGTTACCCAAGTCTGCAGGGTGCTTTAGTGAGACAATACACTCCAGGAAAGGGCAATTTCCCCCAACCACCCGCATCCTGAGTTATCCTTTGCCCAAATCTGCAGGGTGCTTTACTGAGACAATACATTTCAGGAACAGTAAATACACCTGAATCCTGTCACACTTGGTTTAGAAAGAAGTTATGCCCTGTTCACTTTCCAAGTCCCCTCTCCCCCAGGTGCAAAGCAGCCAAGCAGTTTTACAGAAAGCAATGTTGCAAGTTAGCTGAAGTACACAAAAATTTGATGCCCTAATATGGATTCTTTCACCTCATACATTGCTTCTGATTCCCTACATGTAAGATTTTCAGTAGTTAAACCAAGGGGGGAAAATTAGGATGAAATATCACTGTCACTGCCCTCCTGTTGTTCATCGATTTGCTCGAGCGGGCCCACTAACGTCTCCATCGTGAGACTTGTTGTTACTGTGTTTGGCATATCGAATATGTCACAGGTAGCTTGCCAGACTCTGCCATGCGGGTGAGATACTCTCGGTAGCTTGCTGGGCTCTCCGAGAGGGGTGGAGGAATCGAACTCGGGTCGGCCATGTTGACTGTGTGCAAGGCAAACGCCCTACCGCTGTGCTATCGCTCCAGCCCAGGATGAAATATATCTACTCTTAAATACTACTCTGTCACAGGAGGATAGATTTTGTTATAATGAAGTGCTTTTGTTAGTTTCCAGATTTCTCTACTGCTTTACCCCAAACTGTGACTGCTAGATTTTTGTCTCTTCCCAACACTCTGGCCCAGGTGTGGTTCTGATAGGTGGAACTGGCAAACTAGGATTAGATATCCACAGTTTAGTATTAGGAAAATGATGATCTTGTAGCTCTCCTTTCCTAGTTCTGAGAAGTCTAAAATTTATCCCCAGTTTCCTAACTGAAAATTCAGGATGTAAGTATTCAGTATGTAATTCAGGACTTTTTTTGATCAGATTTCTGTGGAGTTTAGGTTTGAGTACAGATCCTATGTTTGTTAAGCAAGATCAATATTACTAATAAGATTTTTAATTGCCATAATACTATTTTTGTAATATGTATACTTGGCTTTAGACATGGTTTGTATTCTCATTCCTAACCCCACACTGTGATCAAAGATGAATTGATGTTCATTTATGTTCCTTTAGATAATAAGATATTTATGTTTTTTATTTTGCATATTTTGGTTATGATATAATTAACGGATAAAAAAATCACTAAGATGAAAATGCAGTGGTTTTCGTACATTTATGTGAGCTACTTACAACAGCAACTGATCTTAAGACCTTTCTGTTCCCTGAAAAAGAAACTCTACATACTGGCAAATTAGTCCAAGTTCCCCTCATCCCTCTAGAAGAAACTAATCTGTTTTTTGCCTCTCTGGATGTGCCTATTCTGAATATTCCATAAAAATGAAATGTTTCTTTTAATTCGTTTAGACACTACCAGAAACATGTTTACCAAATTACGCCAAGAATTTGAAAGACAAGAGTTCTTTAGTTTCTTCTCTCTATAAAGTTATCCAGGAGCCACAAAGTGAAGTAAGTACTCTGTTTATTCTGTTATCAGTGCAGATTCATTTTTAATTTATTGTGAAATGTAATATGTATGTGAGTAGAAAACATAGGATTAAGGGACTTTAATAAAACGAACCCCAGGATGCTGTCCCCAGGCTAGGAAAGAGAATTATCATCATATTCCAAAAGCCATCCTTGTGTATGTTCCTACTCCTTTTGTTGTCTGATTGATTGTCTACTAATCTATCATTTATTTCTCTTTCTGGAAGCAACTAGAAATTTTTGGGACACATTGATTATTCTGTAAATATTTCTGTGCCCATTATAAGCTAAGCAAATAGAAAATCAAAGATGAGTAATGTCTGGTATCTTGTGAAAGAAGAAAGGGGTAGAAAAATAAGTAAAATTATGCTTGAAAGCAAAGCAAAGCTTATCTGAGTCTAGAAGAATAGGCATACACTTTGCAGGTATGCAATAAAACAAACATTCCAAACCTTGGGTGTAGTATATGGAGGCCTAAGAGAAGTGCATGGCATTTAAGGAATGGCAGGTAGTTTGGACTGGCTGTGCTTTCCTCGGTGGGTTCTTTTTAATTTGTGAACTCCCACTCTCTATCCCATATTCTTTCCTTTATCCAGTAACAAATTTAGTTTAAAGGTGATTAAATAATCTGTATGTAAGATTTGGGTGTTTATAAATCCATTGCTTATCTTAGAAAATGGAATTTTCTTTTAAAAAAGCAAATCAGAAAACACACTACTTAGCAAGAAGTTAAGGATAAGACCGAAGCTGAAGAAATAGTTTGGAGGTTTAAGGCACTGCCCTTGCATATGACTGTGGCCATAAAAATCTTTTGAATCATCAGTACCACACATGGTCCCTGGAGTACTGACAGCATGGCCCCTGAACACAGAGCCAGGAGTGGCCCCTGAGTACTTCCAGCTGTGTAATGCCAAAAACAAAGACCAAAGCTAGAAAGAAAGTCTTTAGTCTAACCAAGTCAAACCTAGAATCCACATGCTGTTTAGATGTTTTTTATTCTGAAGGATGGCTTAATCAGATGATTGTTCTTGGAAGATGGCTATGTGGAGAATAGATTGGAAAATAGAAAAAAACAAGAAGGCTGTGACAATAGTCTAGGAGAGAGGTATTGAGTACATAAACTAGAGGGTATCTCTGGGAATGACAAGGGGTGGGATCTGTGTGATAGATAACTCTTCCTGCTTGAGTTTTGTTTTTTTTTTGGGGGGGCAGCACACCCAGTGATGCTCAGGGGTTACTCCTGGCTCTACACTCAGGAATTACTCCTGGCAGTTCTGGGAGGACCATATGGGATGCCAGGGATCGAACCTGGGTCGGCTGCATGCAAGGCGAACACCCTACCTACTGTACTATCACTCTGGCCCCTGTGCTTGAGTTTTATAGAAGGCATGATAATGGGTAGTGCTCTGCAGTTTCATCCTATAAGGCTCTTTGGAGTGAAACTCTCAAAAGGAGAATTTTCTGTTATTTGAGTGATGTCCCTCTTATGGAATAATCCAACTCCTATTGATTATACTATAAAGTGCTTCATGAATTTTGGGTGCAAGAGATAGGAATTATATTGAGAATCCTAAAACTTGAACTGCAAGAACTGAATGTGGCACTTATATTTTGCTTATTCCCCTTTCCTCCTCAAAGGCTAAGGCTTAATTTTTACAGCATATATAGGCAAGCTGTTTTCTTGAAGGGCCTTAGATTTTAAGTACTACAGTAAAAACTTTTCAAGTTTTCCATATTCGTCGAGAATTAATTCACCAGAGTAAATATAGCTGTTATTTTTTTTAAAAACAAATCTTGTTTATCATTTACTGCTTGATATTTTGAAGGACATAAAAATTGTTCCTCTGGGGGGGTTGGAGCAGTAGTGCAGCAGGTAGGGCATTTGCCTTGCATGCAGACCCGGGTTTGATCCCTGGCATCCTGTATGGTCTCCTCTCCCCTCCTACCCCCAGTTCCCCCCACCCCCAGAGTAACCCCAGAGCATTGCCGGTTGTGAACCAAAAAGAAAAAAAAATTATTTCTCTAGTGGAATGTTTTAACAGGACTACTTTGATTTGATTTTCAAAACCAGACTACTTTGAATAGTTTTTAAGGTAAATTTTCTAATTATAGTAGTTTGGTTTATGTCCTTCTTTTTTGGAAGGGGCAAGAGGGGATCACCCAGCTGGTGGTTGGGGCTGGGCTGACTCCTGACTCTACACTCAGGGATCACTTCTAGAAGCTCAGGACACCATGTGGGCTACTGGGGATGGAACCTGGGTCATACTTGTGCAGGGCAAGCGTCCTACCCACTGTATTATCTCTGTATTACCAATCCCCATGTCATCTCTTCTTTTCATGAAACAGTGAACATAGCACTAATGTTCTAAGAGCTGTATCACTCAAACTATTTGTGGTGCATGAACCTCTTTATTAAAAAATGTGTTCTAATAATATAAGTTACAACTTATATTATGCAGTTTTAAAAATCCTACAATTTATATCACACAGTTTTGATAAACCTACAACTCATATCATATCAAAATGATATATCAGAACAATATCACATAGTTTTGATATCATACATGGCACTCATGAGTTATATCTCATATCACTTACTTAATATCACTCATCAAAATTGCATATCACACAGTTTTGATAACCCTGCAACTCATGCCATGCAATTTTGATAACTACCAACTTCTCAGCGCCTTCTCCAGTAAGTTTGCTCCTCACCATTTGGACACTGTAGCAGCATCAACTGCTGTAGTTTCTAAATGTTTTCTCATAATGCCCACATTTATACTGTTGTGGACTGATAAATATTTGTGACTCTCCACCCGAACATGGGCCACACTTTCTGAAGTAGTGGCTTAAAAGGTTTCACATGTATATTTGTTTTATGTTGGCTTCAGTAATGTGGTGAAAAGAGTGTAAATAATAATAAAATAAAAGGCCCTCCCGTTGATCGTCGATTTGCTCGAGCGGGCCCAGTAACATCTCCATTGGAGACTTTGTTGTTACTGTGTTTGGTATATTATATATAATTGCATATTATATATAATTGTATATATATGATTATACATATACTAGATTCTAAAATCTTAATCTGGTTTAATATGATAACCATCTTTCTGCTCCTTAGGATGTATTAAAATATAATAGAAATTAAAATACAATATAATATAATATAATAGAAATTAAAATATAATTAGAAAATATTCCTCCTAAAGTGCTGATAAAAGTGCTGATATTGATTTAGCAAAGGGTTGTTGTTCTTTGATCCTTTCTAATTGCTCAGGAGGGAGAGATGACAGCAACTTCCTAGGATTCCCTGTTCAGTTTTACCAGAATTGGCATGTTTTATTGGGGAGAAAGAATATGAAGGAAAAAAAGTCTTAAAATGTAATCATGTTAAGAGATTTAAAAGAGGGCTAGAGCAATAGTACAGCTAGTACAGCGGGTAGGGCATTTGCCTTGCTTGCATTTGACCCGAGTTCAATCCCTGAGTTCAATCCCTGGCATCCCATATGGTCCCCCAAGCATTGCCAGGAGTAATTCCTGAATGTAGAGCTAGGAATAACCCCTGAGCATTTCTGAGTGTGACCCAAAAAGCCAAAAAAAAAAAATTTAAAAGATAGACGGTTTCCCCTTTTATTTAGACACTATGATTTGTGTCATTGTTTACAATGGATTTTCAGTCTTACAGAGTTCCCTCTGCTAATCTCACCCTTCCATCTCTTACCCCAGATTCCCTCCCATCCCCGAGTCTAACTCCTTGACAGTTACATTTCTAGATTTAATGGTGCTTTAACCCCTCGCTTACAGTGGTACTGAATCTAGTAGTTTAGATAGATGGAGATACTATACTTCTACTCCATAGAGACCTAAGACCCCACCCTTGGCCCTCTGTTACTTCTAGATTGTCTTTCCTTGTTTCCCCTTCATCTTTCTCTTTGGCATTTTGGATAATATTTTTAATAATAATACTCCCTGCCTTTGACTCGTAGAACATTTTGAAGTTCACAAAATGCTTCCATATATACTTGTTTGTATTGTTTGTCTTTCCTCTAGAGTGCAAGGCTGCCATTTCAAATAACTTACTAGTGATTATTTTGCTCTTTTTAGAGGGAAGCATGTATTTATTTCAAAAATTACCAATCAGAAGAAATGTTCTTATATATTATGTATCAGTGTTATTTAAATAAAAGTCAGATTCTTGAATTAAACTTGTGTCTTTCTTGCAGTTGCTAGAGCCTGTCTGTCACCAGCTTTTTGAGTTCTATCGCAGTGGGGAGGAACAGTTGCTTCGATTTACACTGCAGTTTCTCCCAGAACTGATTTGGTGCTACCTTGCAGTCTCAGCCAGCAAAAATGTTCATAGCAGTGGATGTATTGAAGCTCTTCTTCTAGGGGTTTACAATTTGGTTTGTATTTAATGGAGTTTTAAAAAAATTCTTCTTCGCAAAAGCAAATAAATGCAAACAGCTTTTCTTCATTTTAGTAATATTTGTTTATCATGCTTCAAATGACTCATTGTTCATTCTCCCAAAAATAACTTTACAGAGATTGAGCGTATCTAGGCAAACACGTAATTACGTAAATACACTTTTTTGTATTGACTGAAGACTGAAAATCATGCCATTTCAATTATCTTACAGAGGTATCTGAAAATATCAATGTTGAATATCTATAGACCATCTATTTGTGACCTTCACAAATAGTCTGGGAGAAAATACAAAATCTAAAACATATCAGTAATAATTACATAAAATCTGGAATGTCTCCAGAGTTTACCCTATTGATTTAACATACAGTTTGGCTTATTATTGTTGTTTGTATAAATAATTATGATGTTTGAGATACTTAAGGTTTGTATATTTGAAAATAGAAAATAAATTTAAGGAACTTATTCTGACATGTTTAATATTTCACATCTATGTTGACTGATTTAGGAAATGTTATTTGAGGGGAAAATCAATGGTTATTAAGATTAAGGTACTATAGCTTAATTTCAGCCAGCCTTAAAACCATATCACTGGGGTTGGAGAGATAGTACAGCGGGTAGGGCGCTTGCCTTGCACGCGGCCAACCCGGGTTCGATTCCCAGCATCCCATATGGTCCCCTGAGCACCACCAGGAGTATCTCCTGAGTGCAGAGCCAGGAGTAACTCCTGGGCATCGCCAGGTGTGACCCAAAAATGCAAAAACAAAACAGAACAAACTATATCACTTATTTGAAAATTAGAACACTAACTCCTGGTACATATAAGTAACTATTAATAAATTTTAGCTGACTTAAAATGTTTTTTCAGTCTTTTTTTATACAATAATTTAAATTTAGTTATTAGATTTATGTGTGAAAATTGAATATTTTAAGATTTTCTTTTTTACTTTAATAGGAAATAGTTGACAAAGAGGGACATAGCAAAGTACTGAGTTTCACAATTCCATCTTTATCCAAACCATCAGTGTATCATGAAGTAAGTTGTTACAGTAAGTTTATTGGTTCTGAGTTTTGAAGTTGCTATAAATTAGGGTTTGGTTATTGAGGCCAAAGAATGATCAATTTATTAATACTTAAAAAGGACAAATATCACACAAAGTGTTTATAATTCCCAAAAATGAAAGAAAAATCAAGATCATTAAACTTTAAAATACATCTGAGCACAATCTGTTGAAAGTATTCATTTTGAAATGTTTCTTGCCTTTTGAAGTATGAAACTAGTCTAAACGTGTGGTCTCTGTGTGTGTGTGTGTGTGTGTGTGTGTGTGTGTGAGAGAGAGAGAGAGAGAGAGAGAGAGAGAGGGCAGTTACATATTTCCATCGTGTAATTTTGAAGTTAGAAATATTTTTTAATATCTGTTTGTTATTTTGTTTTTAGTTACTCGTTGCATCTTTGAACAGAAAAGTCAGTAGGCAATCTCGATATTTTAAAGATATATTATATTCATGGGAACCATTTTTAATAGGGCATATATTCTAAATGGAGCATTTTCAATAGAGTGGCACTCTATTCTTCATCAAAATGTCTTTTCTTCAGCCTTCCAGCATCGGGTCCATGGCTCTGACTGAGAGTGCACTATCCCAGCATGGTTTGTCCAAAGTTGTGTACAGTGGACCTCACCCCCAGAGAGAGATGCTGACCGCACAGAATAGGTATAATGTAGAATCATAGCCTGATGATTAAATTCTTCTTCCATATGCTTATGTTTGATAAGTTGTGTATAACATTTTTTCTACTGACTCATTTCATGTGAAATAAATATGTATCTTCCCAAATTGTCACTTATTTTCTATTTCAGATATCATTTGGAGTTTTAGATTTTTAAAGTAATTTTCATTTGTTACTTGAGAAGTTGTTCTTTCAGCTTTGTATTGTTATTGGTATAGTTATATTGTAGAGGCCTGTTGTGTAGCATGTCTTCCCAATGTCTGTTGATGGTTATCTTCTTAGAATTGAAAATAATGATAAGTATTCTTTTCTTTTATCTTTAGGTTTGAAGTGTTGACATTCCTTTTGTTGTGTTACAATGCTGCCTTAACCTATATGCCCAGTGTTTCTCTTCAGTCACTATGCCAAATTTGTTCAAGGTAAATTGAAATTTGAACACTTATAATACTAAAATATATGAAACTGGGACTGCTACTTTGTTGCATGTATTAGTTTTATTGTGTTTAATTATTTATTTAAAGGATGACTTAACTCGGGGGTCAGAAATGTAGTACAGCAGGTAGGGCATTTGCCTTGCATACAGCCGACCCAGGTTCAATCCCTGACAACCCATGTGGTCTGTTGAGTATTGCCAGGAGTAATACCTGAGCACAGGAGTAACCCCTGAGCATCACTGGGTATGGCCCCAAACCAAAATAAACTAATTAAATAAAATAATACATTACTTAATTCAGCCCAGGAAAAAAATAGAAAGCTACCTGTGAATGATAAAATATACTGAGTAAAAACATGATGAAGAATATAATAGTGAGTAGCATTTCAATGGAATATTTAATCACAAAAGGATTAAATAATATAAATATGACCTCCTAATAAACACTATTGTTGATGTTTTCCTGAAACTACGAGAAGTTCAAAAAGAACAAGTGTTAATTTCTCTCTTAACCCTGTAGTTCTCAGAGTCATTCTACCACAGTTACTTTTTAACATTTTAATATGCCAGTTACTAATATACCAATTCTAGCTAATCACAGAACTAGAAAATCATTTAAGAATATAAGTAAATGTTAAATTCAAAATCATAAGCAGATTATTTTAAAACTAGCTGTAGGATTGGGGCCAAGGAAGATTTTAATAGAAAAATACTAGATAAGTTCTGTGCCATAAGAAAAATGAATATTTACAACATTGATAAGGCAGGAAAGGGGTGCAAGTAATTTAAAAAATACTATTTAAATGGAGTAACTTAAATAGTTCTTAAATTACTTTTAGGCCACAGAAAATTATATGAGGAACTCTCATTAAGTCTGTCACAGCAGTCTTAAATTTTAAGTTTCCTTAAATCCTATTCTCTATTTCCACCTAATAATTTCTCCTGGGCTGGAGCGATAGCACAGCGGGTAGGGCGTTTGTCTTGCACGCAGCCAACATGGCCGACCCGACAGTAACAACAAAGTCTCAATGGAGACTGGGCCCACTTGAGAAAATCGATGAACAACGGGAGAACAGTGACAGTGAATTTCTCCTAACTCCAGATTTCATTAATTGTTTAGTAGGTATTCTGAATAAGAAGTCTTTTACAGAGTCAAAGCGATAGTATAACTGTAAGGTACCTTTTGCACGCAACCAACCTGGTTCAATTGCTGGCATCCCATATGGTCCCCTGAGCATCACCAGGAGTGATTCCTGAGTGCAGAGCCAGGTGTAACTTCTGGGCATCATTGGTGTGGCCCCAAAACAAAAGAAGCAGCATTGTATATTTTTAGAAACAAGCAAGTTTTCCTAAAGAATGTGACTATCCATGTTATAAATATCCATTCCTTGTGACAGTTCAATACAATACGGCCATGTGATAGATTGCTGCTCAGTTTAGTTGATGATGATTATGCCAAAATTGTTTACTGATGTATGCAGAAGAAAGAATGCATAAAAGTACATTCAGTGAGAAGTGTGTCCCATTTTATTTTTTAAAACCTTCTGATTGTAATGTGAAAGAAATTAAAAAACACTTGGACACTTCCCACCATCCACCCACCCATACACTCCATTCTACTGAGCAAAAATATATTGTTACTACAAGCTTTGCTTTCTTGGTTCAGATGATTGACCAGTTTGATAGCTGTGTATTCCTCCTACATAGTGTGAGTGGGTTTTAGTCAACAAGTTTTATTTTTCTGCCATGCTAAACATTATAAATGGCCCTCTAAAAGGAATCTACCTATTCACTAATGTTACATATTACAAATATCTTTTACTAGTGTATGGTAGAGTCCTTTAAATTTGGGGAAATAATTTTTTTCACTATTTGGACAGACCTTTTAACAGAATACTATTTTCTAGTTGGTTATCTTTTTTGTTTCTTTGTTTTTGCTTTTGGAGCCACATCTGGCAGTGCTCAGGTCTTACTCCTGGCTCTGCACTCAAATACCACTCCTGGTAGTGGTCAGGGGACATTATGGGGTGCCTGGGATAGAACCCTGGTTAGCTGCATGCAAGACAAGCACCTTATCCACTATATTATCTCTCCGGCTTTATGGTGGGTTATCTTGCCTTTTGATGTGGAATACTTAATATTAAAGACAAAGCTATACTATGCTACCAAGGTAAATTCTCTTTCAGATATTCATTTTGTTCGCTTGATGAGTCACTATGAATGACTAATGAATGCTTAATTTGTTCCTGTAGGTCTTTAATTAACCCTCTTCATACCCCTATACCAAATCTTCGAACCATCTGAATAGATTATTCTTATATGCTGTTCATTAAGTACACTTTTGTGCAAATGAACCTCTATGGATTCTTCCTCCTAACCAAATTTATATGTGTGTATCTGTTTTGTTGTTTGTTAATTGACAGTTCCTTTAAAAATTTTTTATTTAAACCATTGTTATTTTCAATAGTATTATTTAAAAAGTAGAGTTTCTTGCATACAAAATGGCAGCTTTTTCTTTTACCTGTTTGTTATTACTGTGTAGTAGTTTTAGAGTATAACTTATAAGTTATTTTGTATTGAAAGATCCTATGGTTGATTTTTCATTGCTTATTATTTTGTTTGTAAGCTAATTTTATTTATATAAATCTTGTCCATTCTTCACAGCCTAGGAAAAATAATTTTTTCAGGGTCAGAGAGATAGTACTTGACTTTCACTGGATAACCAGGTTCAGTGCTCCACTGCTTGAGCAGTGAAGAGTGCCTTGAGCCCTGCCAAGAGTGATCCCTGAGCATAGAGCCAGAAGCCCTGAGCAAAGCTGGGCATAACCTCAAAACAAACAAAATAGTCTTTCTGTAATTACTTAAACAAGATTTTTGTGTGATGGACTGTATAACCTTTATATGGCTTCTTATTTAAAAGGACAGAAGAATGAGAATGGGTAAAAGTGTTTATTACTATGTAGATAATTTTTACATTTTTTTCTTTTCTCCTCTATTTCTTTCCCTTTTCTGCTCTATTGATGATTTTTTTCTCTCTTTCCCTCACTATTTAAAACAGAGTAGAAAAACAGGGAGGGACTATTTCCCAAATAAAAATGAGGAAAACAGCCGTTGTCCCTTTCTAAGATAGTTTCTACACATTTTTTACTTTCTATTGCTTTTTTAAAGAACGTAAGGTAAGGTAAGGCCCTCCCGTTGATCGTCGATTTGCTCGAGCGGGCCCAGTAACGTCTCCATTGGAGACTTTACTGTTACTGTGTCTGGCATATCAAATACTCTCGGTAGCTTGCCGGGCTCTCCGAGAGGGGCGGAGGAATCGAACTCGGGTCGGCCATGTTGGATCAGACCCAAATATAGTACTTAAGTATTTACTGAATGAATAAATGACTTGATTGAAAAAAAAACAGTCTTAGCTTTTATTCATTGATCTTGATTGGGGGAGGGTGTTATTAAATAATCTGTTTATTGTACTGCATTTATAAAAAAAAATAGACAGTGTACCCAGTAGAAAATAAATGTATTTAGATTTTATTTTTAACTGACAGCAAATAGCAATCCTTAGGTGAGATTGTGGCAATTTGACATTATTATAATTAAGTTCAATAAAGATACATGTGTACTTGGAAGGTCAAATTCCATAGCTGCCACTTTCTAAGGCATCTAATTTATCTGGCTCCTTAAATGATAGGGGTGGGGGAAACCCTTATTTGGTATGTAAACATTTCAAAAATGAAGTTGCAGGTTCTCATTAGAATTCCTTTTCATGTCAGTTGTTATAATGGGTCTGTGTTTGAGTGCATGTGTGTGCATTTTGTTTATTTTCACCTTAATATCATCACAATTCTTTTAAATCCACATTTGTGATTTTACAATATAGAAAAGAATTCAGTTTTTATCTGCTGTTGCTTTAGACATATGTATTATTGAAAACCCACAGTGGGATTAGAATTGTTGAAGGATTTTCCCTACCATTGTTGTTTGATACAATCTATTCTTTATTATAAAAGTGTAAATGTAAGGTGTAAAGGTAAAGGTAAAGGCCCTCCTGTTGTTCATCGATTTGCTCGAGCGGGCCCAGTAACGTCTCCATTGGAGATTTTGTTGTTACTGTGTTTGGCATATTGAATACATCACGGGTGGCTTGCCAGGCTCTGCCGTGCGGGTGAGATACTCTCGGTAGCTTGCCGGGCTCTCCGAGAGGGGCGGAGGAATTGAACTTGGGTCGGCCATGTTGGCTGCATGCAAGGCAAAAGCCCTACCGCTGTGCTATCGCTCCAGCCCTTGAGGGTGGGGGGGGGGGATGTAAGGTGTAAGAAATGTTTTTCTAGGTTGCTTCTTTAGATAACTAGATAATAAGAGTAGTAGATTCAAGTTTGGAAATAAGTCTTCCCATAGCAGACAAAATTTGTGTTGGTTTTATTTCCTGCACAACTAATTTCTTTCAGTTTCTGCCTTGGCCATCTAAGGCTACTATAACCAAATACCATACCATAGATTGAGTGGCAACTGCAATAGGCCTTTATTTCTCACAGTTCTGGAGACTGGGAAATCCAGGGTCAAGGTGCTGGCATATTCGGATCCTCATAAAAATCCTGTTCTAGGCTTGTGGCAGCTGCCTTCCAGTTGTGTCTTCATATGTCAGAGAACACAACTGGGAACCAACTCTGGTTCACTTACTCTTAAGAGATCAAATCTTATAATAACATGAATGGAACTTGAAGTTATTTCTAAGTGAAATAACTCAACCTGAAAGACAGTTACTGAATAGCTTCTTTCATATGTGAACTCGGAGTAATCAAAAGTAAACAGGCTAGCAAATTACAACCAAAACAATTTGGAAACTGTGTGAAAATATAGTCATTATCAGAGTAGAAGGAGAAGAGGGGTGAGTGAAATGGGTAGTGGGTATCAATTTGATAGTGTGAATGACATTAAAACTCTTTTGGTATGTGCTGTGAGGTATAGTTTATCCCATACAATAAATCAATAGCAAGTCAGTAAGATGGTGTTAAGTATAAATAATTTATACCAAAAAAACCATATTTATTACATTGTTGGCTTGTAAATGTTAAAAAATCTAACACTTAAAATTTTACAAATATATTTATTTTGGTCTCTCTAGAATCTGTGTTTGTGGGTATCCTCGACAACATGTAAGAAAATACAAAGGTATAAATAGCAGGATACCAGTTTCTTCCGGATTCATGGTGCAGATGTTAACAGGGATTTATTTTGCCTTGTAAGTTTATTTATTATACAAAAAATAAATAAAAGCCTTGATCTCTTTGGGAAAGTATATTGTTATTGCTGCTGTAAGCTCATTTTTGTGGAAGAACTTGAAGCAAAATTTTAATAATTTTATTATTTACAATATACCTTTTAATATTTTGAATTGTTTGTTACCAATTATAACACTTCATCTTTCTTTAATTCAAAAATACACAAAACATAAAAATAAGCGTTTAATTTAAAGAAAACATATCAGAATTTTCTTTTTTTTTTTTTTATCTTTTGACCACACCTGGCTATGCTCAGGAGTTACTCCTGGCTCTGCACTCAGAATTACTCCTGGGATGCTTGTCAGTCATATGGGGTGACAGGGATCAAATGTGGGTCAGCTGCATGCAAGGCATATGCCCTCCCTGCTGTACTATTGCTCCAGCTCCAGCTTTTCAGTTTCCTTTGGGTCTGCACCTCAGAGCACTTCAGAGCACCTCTCTGTGTTCTTGCCTGATCTCCAGAGTAGAATTCTTAATTTCTTATTTTGACTTGACTAGGCATGGTTGGTGCAGGGAGGAAGTGAAAGGAGAGTTTTGGGTTGCGCTGGTTCAGCTTTAGTTCTCAGCAGACCTTGTGTCCTTGCAGCTGAGACAGTGGAAGGCACTCACTGGCCCTGTACTCTCCTAGGTCTCTAATATACTGCAATGAGTGATTTGATTTTCCCCCACAGAAAGAGTTTGCTTTTCTTTCTCCTTCCCTCATGGTGATAATGGGTCTCTACCTCTGCACTCAAAATGAAAAGGTTTGCTGCTCTTCCCACAAAAGCTTTAAAACTTATGTTTATAGGAGAAAGGGCTCTGGCTGGATTTTCTTGCCTTTTCTGCATGCATGTTCTTCAGAACCATATCACCAAGGGCACTTTGTCTGGTTCTCCCTTCCTCTGCTCCTAGTTTTTTGTTTGTTTGTTTGTTTTTGTGATTCCCTGAAGGAGGTCTGTGGAAAAGTGTTTAGGAATAGGTATTAACTTCCCTTTATCTGCTTCCAGAAATACTATACTCATGTTTGTATACACTTGACTTTTAGCAATTTGTTAATAATTGTTCAGTGGTATCCTTCTAATAATTAGCATTGTGGCCAGTTCCCTCTAGAGTCACCTGCCTGCCTTAGGTTACTGGCTACTTTGGTGACCTGAGAGCTGCACAAAGTGATGGCTTTGTAGATTACCTGCCTTACCTTGTTTTTAGGTGAAATCAGTGGTTTTTGCATTTATTTTTTTAGGTCTCATTTGTACTCATGTTGTAATTCTCATTTCTTAATTTTGTTGGTAGAGACCACACCATTATTTCTCTGTTGGTTTTCATTGTTTAGCCAATTTTAAAGATATCTGACCTTATCTTTGAAAATTTCATACAAATACACACACACATATCTCACACATATCTTTCCCCCTCCACACGCACATACATTGTCCTGATATTTTCAGCATATATCACATATATTTCTAGATAACTATTAGAAAGTAAAGAAGTAACTACTCAGGATACCGAAAGCCATAGTAATTTTATATTCTTAATAAAAAGAAAAATGTGGGAGTTACAGAGTACTCAGACCAGAAAATGTTCTGAGCAGTATTCTAAGGTATGTAATTTATTATGCTCTAGCTTGCTTTGAACATGTAAAATGCTTTGAGATTATCTTAGCTTTTTTGAATTTTGTTCTTTAAATAGACTTGTTCTTTAGAGAAGAAATGTACTTGTATAAACTTTTCTTTGCTATTAATAGGCTCTTAAATACAATCAAAAGGAATTAAAATATTCAAAAGATGTATTTTTAAGGAGGGAGGAATGCTAAGTAATGTGTTAATTTACCTATTGTTTTCCTCAGTGAGCTTCTAATTTTATTTTGTCAAATTATAGAACTAATTTAAAATAATTAGTTTGACTTTACTTAATTCATTTAATTTTATAGTTATAATGGAGAATGGGATCTTGCTCAAAAAGCATTGGATGATGTAGTATACAGAGCCCAGCTGGATTTATATCCAGAGCCATTACTGGTAGGTACCTCATATATTTTTTTAAATATAATTTTGAATTTAAAATTTCTTGACTTAGAACTATAAATTGAGAAGTATCTTTTTATAGTGAATTAATAATGTCATTAGTGATTGATGTTTCTGTCATTGTGAATTTTACATTTAAAATTTTACATTTAAAAGGCTAAAATGGAGCAAGAGAATTGGTACAGTGGTCAAGGAACTTGCCTTGAATTTGGCTGACCCTTGTTTGATCCCTGACACCACATGATGGGGCTTCAAGACCCATGAGAACAAACTCTGAAACCAGAACCAGCAATAAATCTGCGCCCTGCCTGTGCCACCCTCCCCCACCCTTCCACCCCATAGAAGGTCAAAATATGAAATAAGACCAGGGAAATAACTTGAAGGCTAGATCATATGTTTTGCATGCCGGATTTCTAGGTGTGATTCCTGCCACTGCATAGTCACATGAACACAGCCAGGAGTAGCCCTGAGCTCCAAGCTGAGAGTAGCCCCTGGTTCTGCTTAGTGTTGCTTAAGTCCACCACACCCCCCCAAATGTAAAAAAAATAATAGAATTTGAAGATTTTATTTATTTAATTTTCAGGTATCTAGCAGATATATTCTTGATATGCTAGGGATGCATTTATTCATTAGCATTAGGCATTTGAAAATATATTTTACTCTATTAGAATTTTAACTTTTACTTTGTATTCTTTTAACTATAAGCTTCCTTCTGAACTTTAACTTGAGTTTAAATTCTTAAGCCCTTATTCTACGGGAAATACCTTGGAGAAAGTATTCTTTCTAAATACCTGTTAAAACTGACATCTTGTTTTAGCTAAGGATAGAGTAATACATTTGTTGATATCAATTTTAAATCATGTTTCCTTCCTAGGTTGCTAATGCAATAAAGGCTTCATTGCCTCATGGTGCCATGAAATCTAGTAAGGAGGGTACAAAGTGTATTCAAGTTGAAATTACACCAACTTCCTCTAGAATATCAAGAAATGCAGTAACCAGCATGTCAATAAGAGGTCATAGGTGGAAAAGACATGGTAAGAAATAGACAACTCTTCAAATTAAAGAATTGCTGATTCCATCACATTTTTCTCTGTTCTTACATTGCTTTAACTTCCAACACTAGTAAATAATTTCATGTGGCGTGGAAGAAAGAGCTGTTAAATCATCTAAGTGCTAATTTATTATCTACAAGCAACAAGCAATAAAGAAATGGAGTCCTTACATTATTTATATGAATGAAAATTTGTTTTTAAATTATATTAGCTTTAAAGTCTTCTTTAATGATGTGGGAGAGTAGAAAGTGCATATAAAAAATCAGATATTTTGGGTTTCTATTTATAACTATTTGCAAATATTTCTATATTTTTGTTCCTGATTTCAACCAACTCTTAGAAAGTTATTTTGTATCCTGAGCAGAACAGTTTGTAAGAAATTTAATCTATTCTTCTGAATATCCTGGTAAAGTAAGCCCAAATACTAGTGGAGCTCGAGGCATTTCCATTTTCTAGAAGTTACTTTTTTCTAAGATTGTTTGATTTATTTTTGAATGCTTCATATTATTTAAATGTTCTACTGTAAGTTCATTTGAGTGACCTGCTTTGGTAGTGCTTTCTCATTTCCCTCCTTTCTCTTATAATTTATACTTTCTAAATTTAATTGCTCATTCTTTTTATAATCTCTCCTACCTAAAAATTTCTGTACTGGCAAGACTTAGTTTAAGAAGAGAAGAACATTATTATCAGTGCCTATGAGGTAACCATTAGAATGTAAAGCAAAAACACGTCTTTTGCCACAAGCAAATATGTAAACTAGGGTACCAAAAAATCTATTCTCTTTTTACTTCTTTGTATTCCCTGAGATAAGCATGGCAGTCTTCTTGTGGGTTTATTTGTCTCTGTGGCCTCCAGAAAACACACAAAAGTTAGAATGTGGTTATTCATAATGAAATAAAACGATGGGCACAGTTACTATTGCCCCTGTTTAGGAAGTCTAGATGATGACATACCAAAAAAGAATGATGAAAATCTGATTAATCAAGGATTGTTCTCAATCTTTTTTTATTTTTAAAATTTTTTTATTAGTGAATCACCATGGGGTACAGTTACAGACTTACAAACTTTTGTGCTTGCATTTCAGTCATACAATGATCCCATCCCTCTACCAGTGCCCATTCTCCACCATCAGTGATCCAAATATCTTCCCACGACCCTTACCCATCCTCCCCCTCCTCTCTGACAGGGCATTCCCTTTTGTTCTCTCTTTCCTTTGGGTGTTGCAGTTTGCACTAGAGGCATTGAGTGGCCATTGTGTTCGATCTGTGGTCTACATTCGGCTCGCATCACCCATCCCAAGCTGGTCCACCAAATACCCTTTACTTGGTGTTCCCTTCTCTATCTCTCAATATTTAAAAAAAAAAATGACAGATCCAGTAGTAGAGCATATATTTCACATGTATGAGGCTGTGGTTTGATCTTCAGCACCAAAAAAGTAAATAAATAAAGAGATAACATAGTGTGACAGTTGGAAGTCCCTAAGAAAGATAGGAGAGATATAATAATATTTGTCATTAAATACAAATTATACTGCTATTTATATTGAAAATGTAGTTATACTGTAAAATACTTCTCATTTCTTTGGTGAAAGTTACGTTGCTGAAAGAACTCAATCTCAGGTGGTAAATTAAATGTGGTAGTAGCCCTAAAAATCTGTTTTCTGTTTGGTAATTGATGTGTGAAAATAGGTAGAGGCAATGAACAAGACCATATTGCTTGTTGTGACCATATGGCCCCCAAACTTACACTACAGCAGCAGAAGAATGAACTTGAATTTCTCTTCATTTTCTTTTCCTGGTATTTAAAGGAAGACATAAGGAACTAGGAGTGGGGAATATAAGACGTACATTTATAAATGGGAAATACTGAAGTTTAGTTGTATTTACACATGTGTGTGAAAAATGGTATACGTGTGTGTGTGTGTGTGTGTGTGTGTATCCATGTATGCACTTGAGAAATATACCCTGAGGTGAAATAGAAGCCAGAAATAGAAATTTTATAGGAATTAATCACCAAAACAAGAGTAAATGCTACTTAAATATATAATTTCCATTAGGTTTTTACATATCTTCCAGATTTTCTTTTGGCTACCACTTGAAAGCGTAGTTTTGAATTATTCTTTCAAATTAAAAGGTAAATATTAAACCGTGGGGTGTCTGAGGACCACAGATTCATAAAAAGTAGCCTGTAGGATCAGAGCAATGGTATAGCAGATAGTGCTCTTGCCTTGCATGCACTTGGCCTACATTTGATCCATGGCACCACAAATGGTCCATCAAGCCCCCACCAGGAGTGATCTCTGAGCACTCCAACAGCTAGGAGTAAGTCCTGAACACTGCATAGAGTGGTCCAAAAACCAAACCAAAACGAATAAGTAGCCTATATTATCTGTCACCCGTCTTCCTATGCTTATCAAATACACAACTCTGCTACCTGGTTAGCTTCTGGTTATGGTTACAAAAGAATCACAGAAGAAGACTGAGAAAAGAAGTGACTATAAAATGAAAGGAGCACAGAGTAGATACAGAATACAGCTTGGTCTTATTCCCCATCTTGTCTTAATGTGATTCTCTTGTCCAGTGGACTCAAATATTCTTCATCTGGGCAAGGAGGATGGTCCCCAGCACTGAATAAACAGCCCCAAGTGGACCCCCAGCATCTTCCTGCTGCTGCAGGCTCTGAGTCCCAGGGCCAAGTGGGGCACACCCCGGCAGCGGTGGCCCCAACAATAAGTAAACGAATAAACTATACCTGGTCTAAGTCACTCATTTGTGTCTACAGCTATGTTGCATTTTCCCTTTTGAGAGTAATCTTGACTTTCCTGGCTAGAGCAGCATTTTCCATTATACCTGCTGAATTGAACACCTTTCTGTTTTCCATCTTTGTGGTTCTATGCTTCCTTGCACACCCTGCTATAGTTCTGGGCACTATAGCCAACATTGGCTTTTTGTGAAGAAGAAAGATATTTCTTTCTCTTTGTCATTTTATATTTTGAGCCACACCCTGCTGGGCTCAATCAAGGCTCGCTCCTGGCTCTGTGCTCAGAAATCACTCCTGACAGAGCTTAGGGTACCATCTGAGGTACCAGTGATCAAACGGGGTCAGATGTGTGCCAAACAAGCAACCTACCCACTGTGCTTTCTCTCTGGCTTAAAGAAAGATATTCCTTAAATATATAGTTGGTTCTCAAGTTGTAGTTTTAAATTAAATTTACACACACAAATATATATAAAGTTTATATATAACATATAAATCATGACAAAATTTGGTTTACCTAAAACATTAAGTTTTACAGAAATAATATTAAAGGACTTGTAGATTCCAGGGTGACACACACAAAAAAACTTTTTCCACAATGTTTCTAAAACTTAGTACTATAAGATCAGTCTTTTTTACTTTTCCTACTTGCAGTTCCTTTTTGCCTGAGAAACTTTTATGCACCCTCAAGTATATAGATATATAGAATAGCCATACACCTCAAATATTTACCGATCATAAATCATAAATATTTTGAAACAAATTTTTATGATTTTTTTACTACCCCCACTTTTAGATAAATGACTTCATACATGGTTGATACCCACAGTTCAAAAAAAAAAACCTAGGCTACAGAGTTAGTTTATGACTAAAAAACAAAACATAACACTATTATAAGGACCAGAATTATAGTTAAGACCTGCATGTGGCTAATTCTGATTTGATCCCTGGCATCATAAATGGTCTCCTGAGCATTGCCATGTGTGGTCCCTGTGATTTTTATGCTCAGCACAGAGACAGGAGTATGTTCTGTGCACCATCAGTTGTAGCCCCATACAAAAGAAAGAAAGAAAGAAAGAAAGAAAGAAAGAAAGAAAGAAAGAAAGAAAGAATAAAAAACCCCAAAACAAAACCTTGAAAAAAAAAAGGAAGAAAAAAGAAGCCACAAAATACACGGTGTAATTGCAAATGACTTTTCTCATTCTACTATATTCCTACCTCTCCCCCACCACACCAATTTGATCAAGAGAAGGAATTTCTTTTGCATACCCAAATGGTGTCATATAGGGAAATAGGAATGTGTACCTCTTAAGGTGGTAGCAGTGAGGTTAGGGAAGAAGGAACAGGAAATGTGAACTTGAAGGCATGTACTTTTTCTATCCTTTTCTCCTTTTTTGGTACTGTCAGTGATGTGAAAGAGGCAAATAATTTGTCTTTTTTTAAATTTTTTAGGTCTCGTCCCCCCTTTTTTTCTCTCTCTCTCTCTCTCTCTTTTTGGCTCTTTTTATGACCTGTCCTTAATCTTCCTTTTCCCTGATCTTTGTGAGAAGAGGGAAAAGAGTCACTGAGTAGGCAAGCAGAATTTAAGTTTTTCACTTTTCCTTCCATTTTTTTTTCATCATTAAGCAATGTGGATAATTAAGCCATTTGAACATGTGCATCTGTTTGCATTGAGTCTTAACAGTTATTTAGTATGCAAACAAAAATATTAAGTTGCAGCAATGACATGTATTCTTTCCCCCTGCTGCAGGAAAATCTCAATTATTTTCACAGTAATAATCTGCACAGTCACTGTCACTGTCCTCCCATTGTTCATCGATTTTCTCAAGCGGGCCCAGTAACGTCTCCATCGTGAGACTTTGTTGTTACTGTGTTTGGCATATCCAATGCGTCACGGGTAGCTTTCCAGGCTTTGCTGGTGGGCTCGATACTCTCGGTAGCTTGCCAGGCTCTCCGAGAGGGGTGGAGGAATCGAACTCGGGTCGGCCATGTTGGCTGCGTGCAAGGCAAATGCCTTACCCGCTGTGTTATTGCTCCAGCCCCAGTCTGCACAGTATTTTTATTTTTTTAAAAAACTGAGTTATTTTAGATGCTTCTCTGGAGCAATTTTGCTCATACTGTCTGGTCTCTGAGTTGCAGACGTTGCTTTTCTCCTTGTATTCTTCCATATCGGCTGGAGTGATAGCACAGCAGGTAGGGTGTTTGCCTTGCACGTGGCCGATCCG